CTCTCTCTCTCTCTCTCTCTCGCTCTCTCTCTCTCTCTCTCTCTCGCTCTTTATCTCTCTTCCCTCCCTCTCTGTCTCTGTCATTCTCTTTCTGTGTCTCTCTCTCTGTATCTCTCTGTATCTCTCTCCTCCCTACCCCCATCTGTCACTCTGTGTGTGTGTCTCTCTCTCTCACTCACTCACTCATTTAATCACTCACTGTGTATGGGTCTCTGTGTGTGTGTCTCTCTCTCTCACTCACTCACTCATTTAATCACTCACTGTGTATGGGTCTGTGTGTGTGTGTCTCTTTCTGTCTGTCTGTCTCCCTTCTCCCTCCCTCCCTCCCACTCTCTGTCTCTCCCTCTGTCTCTCTCTGTCTCTCCCTCTGTCTCTCTCCCTCCATCCCTCTCTCTCTGTGCCTCTCTCTCTCTCGGTCTGTCTCTCTCTCTCTCATTCACACACACCCACACAGACACACACACATACTGTGGTCACCTTGCCTCCTGTTTTTTGGCTGCTGCACAAGCTCACGTGGGGCGCGCTGCCCTCTTCTCTCTGACAGTTGCCTTGTTTCCAATGGAGGGGGTGGGAAATTCATGTGTTTTCCTCCCTCTGCATGGATTTCCCAACCCCTATTGGTCCCGTTGTTGCTGGAGCCGCTTTTGCTGGATCCGGTGTGGCAGTGGGACTCTTGCCATCGCTGAGAGCTTCGCTGGCAACCGCTTCTTGCTATCGCCGCCATGCCAGGAAGAAGTCGGTCTTTGGAAACAACCTTTCCTCCCCCTCCAGAGAGCCCCATGCCGGGAGACAAAAGGGGGCAGGCTGGTTTGAATGCGGGCGGTTTGGGGCCAGCACCTCCTTCGCTCATTCGGGCAGGCAGAGAAAGAAAGGAAGCTTGTGATAAAGCACCCCTGCCACTAAGGGCGAAGGAGAGCACCTTCCCCCTCAACTATTGCATGCCTCCTTTCTCCACCCGCTCGAACTAGCAAAAAAGCTGGACCACTAAACTGCCCGCTCACCTGCATTCAAACCAGCCTCCTCCTCTGGAGGGCTCTCTGGAGGGGGACGGAAGGTCTCTCCCAAGACCTGCTTCCCTTACCTCGCAGTGCAGTTCCAAGACACATTCGGGCAATGGGGGGAGGCCTTTCTCGCACACCTTCTTACTTTTTCTCCTTTCGTTCTCTGCTGCCCAAATGGGTGAATGAGGCAGACAGAGAATGAAAGATCACGTCGGGCAAGGGGGGGGGGAGAGCGAACAAGGAGGGGTAGGTGGGAGGGAACATTGCGGTTCTGTCCCACCGGACCAAGGGGTTCTAAAACGTATTCTCAATTTCTCCAACCCCTTCTGGTGAACTGGTGAGAAGAGCAACCCACCCCTGCAGTGATCTTAGTCCTGCCTCTGACAGACTGGACCTTTGTACAGCCCCACCTGTCTTCCAGGTGGGAACTGGGAGTTTGATCCATGCTTGTTTCTGGGTGGGGGAGATGAGAGGTCCTCAAAGAATAATTGGGTGATGATTAATTAATTAGAGTGATGGCTGGGAGTTGATGGCATGGTGTTCAATTATGATGCCATACAGAGCAGGTGGATAAGATGGTAGAAGTTATGGTATTATAATAATACTTTTATGTTATGTTAATGTGTATACTGAAGCCTGTATCTGCTCATTTTCACAATTTTAGTAGTGACTTTAATGTCTAGAACAGAGATCACATATGCACGGCGGTGTCACATGACCTATCAGAACATTTTTTCCCCTTCACTAAATCGGGCATGGGTATGGCCAGCATGTGACACATCCAGCCTGCGGACCGGGAGTTTGACAGCCCTGGTCTAGAAGATTCAACAACCCATTATGATACTGGATATATGTAACAAGATGAATTGGCTATAAAATAGTTTTAAAGGTTAAAAAGTTAGGTTTACAGTTACTTTTATAATGTGGGTACCTCCCATATATAGTATATGGATTTCAATTGCCAGAATTTCTCATCATATCTAAGCAGAATGCGAGAATTCTTAAGTATAGAATGATTACTTGAGAACTATCTATTTTCATATATGAAAATATATGGAAAAAATGAGATTTTTAGAATATAAAGCAAGGATTTCTGCTACACATATCAAGAAATATGGCAACCTAATATTAAAATACAAAAATTCAAGAAAAAACTATGAGGTTTCATGTTGAGCCTGATATTTGTATTTTGATCATAATTTATTCCTGCAGTATTTTGCATAGTTGGATAGAACATCAAGTTACTGTGTAAAAGCAAAATATTTTACAGTCACATATGTCCAGTTTTAAAAGCAATTTTGGTTTTGCATAATATTCAGCAGCTATGAACTATTGTGGGGTGTGAAAAAGAAAATTCATGGTGTGTTCGTATATGGCTAATAAATTTCCTGTTCAATAACAATTTGAAATATTTTCAGATCTCTGAAACACTCAACAATGTATTATGCAATAATGGTAAAAAAAATAAACCTAAAACCTCACCTTGACCAATTCCATCACCAAATATAGCTCCGTCGCAGTGTCCATTTCCTCTACTAGCATAATAATATTCGGATGTTTCACACGGCGTAGAATTGACACTTCATTTTCAATCAAGTGCTCCTACATATTGTTAGAAAAAAAGAGGAGGAAAGCATCTTTTTTAAAAAACTAATATAATTTGAAGAATTAAGTGAGAAGCAGCAAACCAGAGTGACCTTTCCAGTGTACATCTCAATACTTGATCATGTGGCTATCTATCTACAAAACAATAAACTGGAATTGGAAAACCCTTTACTAATAATAGTTTCAAAATATACTAATTAAAGTTAATTTAGTATGAAAACTAATCACTGATCAGTAATATACTTGGTGTCTTCAATTGCAAGTAGCCAACTAGGTGCATTCCCATACCTGTTTATTTAATGTATCAGAATTGTGATCCTCAGCACAGTACAAGCATTCTATTTTCATGCACTTCATGCATTTGTGAATAAGACTGTGGGAAGTACACGTGAATAGTTTATGAGCAAGGAGCAATCGTAGTATTTGAAAAGTCCAGTGCTATTTTTGTAATCATCATAAAGATAAGTTGATTTATTTTCAAATCTGACCATTTCATTAACTGTTACCCTAATGCTTTGGTTTACCCATGTGCTAAGTGTGAATATTCTGTGAATAAGTGGTACATCACACATTGCTTTAACAAGTCGCACCTTTGTTAACCATTATATGAGAGCATCAACAGTCTTTCTGGAACAAACATATGTCTGCTCCAAAGAAATAGGTGCTGAATGGGAAAAAATGCAATATATGAATGACAATAAGGTTGGAACTCAGTAAATGGCCTAATGGGGAAAGGGTGGAACTCACACTAAGGTTGGAATAAAGGCTAGATTGAAATAACTCAACTCACAATTAATATATTGGAAGAAATGACAGAAATAAAATATTACATGTGGTATGTAATAAATGCATCTTTTTTTGTATACAACTGGGATTCATTTGTACCCTTTCATTATACTGAAAGGAACAAGAGTTTTGATAATAAACTTGCTGTGGAATTTTGCTACAAGTGAAGAGGGAGACATGTTTTGTGGGCAGAACATACAGAAAGCTAATTAAGCAGTTGCTGAATATCTTTCTTTGAATCGGCTGATAAGACATAGGGAGAACACATAGCCTTTTGTTGCAGCTAAATCAGACTCTTATGGAACAGTAAACCAAAGATGATCCCACTACAATTTCTAGTAAAACTTGTACAGAACTTCAGAAACTTAGTTATCATAAGTCCAAGCTCACAAATCTATAGACCAGGGGTGTCAAACTTGATTTCATTGATGGCCGCATCAGGGTTGTGTTTGACCTTGGGGGGCCAGGGGGATGTAGGGTGGGCATGACCAGCTTGAGATCACTCCTGTTGGTGGTGCCTGTGGTGGCCCAAGCATTCTACCAGTGAAAACAGGCTCCTGAGCTCAGTTTTTGCTGGCAGAAGCACTGCGGGCTGGTCCTTTGCTGTTTCCAGGGCGGCCCTACGGGCCAGGTCTAAGTACCCCATGGGCCAAATCCGGCCCCTGGGCCTTGAGTTTGACACTTCTGCTATAGGCTGATACAAAAACAAGAACTGGAGTCAGTCATCAAAAATCTCTCTAGCAAAAATAATACTTGAAACATGTACTTTTCCCTATTGTTTAAAAAATATCTAGTAACACACTAATCTGTCAGACTCTACTCACACAAAATGCAATCAAATATTATTCTGATCATTGTATTCTGAAACTGGATACTTTCTGCAATTATAACAGTTAGAAGATTTTAAAGTTTCCTTACCCTGTAATTTATTCTATACATTCAACTGGGTCTCTAATTGTTCTGGTACCAGCATTTTTAACAAAATATAACCACCTTATTTTTTTAAAATAAAATTAAAGATTTAGGGGAATGGCTTAATATTACCTTTTTTTAAAAAATGTTCAATATCCAATTTAATAATTTACAACTTGGACTATTTTTATGAAATTTCCCCAAGGATAGTTTTTTGAAAATACATACGCTGTTATAGCTTTATATGAAGAACATTTTACCCCAAAGGTGTAAATGCTGTTCCAAGAAAAAATATTTTCCAACGGAAGTGGTAAATGATGACTTAAAATAATTTAATATTCTGGTATTATGATACAGAAATTCAGTATTTCTCCTTTACCTTTCCACAACATTTTCCTTTGTCAATAATCTTCAGGGCAAATTCCTTTCTGGTGGATCTGCAAAGAACAAAAGGAGGAGAGAAGAGTGCTTAAATAATTCTTTTGTTTGAGTACACACTGTGAAAATATCTTCGTTTAAAGGAACAGATTACAAAATGAAGATAGAACTACTCCTGCTTTTTTCTCTCAGCAAGTCATCTCTGCTGTTGCCTTGACTACAAAAACCAGCCTTTCTGTTATCATTTAATTTACTGAGATATAAAACTTCACATTGTGTCCAGGTTTATGGTCAGGTATAATCCGTATTTTTTCACTCTACTTTAATAAATGTACAGCCCTGTCATTCTATAACAATATTTACAGATTTGTCAGGGAATAAAGAATAAGATGGATACTTGCTTTGAAATCCATTATATCAACTGCTCATTCCACATCCATATCCTTAAAGGACAAGTCATATTAGAAATATTTCTTAGCCATTTTACCAGTGTCTATTGAATTAGACAATTCAGAGAAATCCTGTTTTGAGAAGTCAGCTGTCTTAATTATAAATGCAATACTGTACAATGAATCATAATTTAAATCTATGTTGAAGCTATAAGTTTAAGAAGTGTTTAATGTAGCATTATTTAGGACTTCACCAGACAATTTTGATAACCATATTTTCCAGTGGAAACTATAAAGGTAACTTCATCTGAAAATAAAACAGTACAGCAGGAATAGATATTATGGATTTAAATGGTGTGTCCTGTTTATATATTACTCAATGTTACCCTTTTTTACTACAAACAGTCCTAGACTTTCAACAATAATAGAGCCTGACATTATAAGTGATAAGATCTGACAACTGTAAAACTGTTATCATGTGAGTGACCCAATTTTATGACTGTTTTGCAGTGTTCATTAAGTGAATGTTTGGTTTTAAAGCAAATGCTACAGTTGTTCAGCAAACACTGCAGCCATAGGTTTGGAAAAAGGTCATAAGTACTTTTTTTGGGTTGGGGGTCTGTCTTAACTCAAAATGGTCGCTAAAGACCAACTATAAGTTGAGAACTACCTGTCCAAGATTCATGAAAACCCATTTTAAAGGCATTTTTTAAAAAAATATTTTTTGTTCTTGGTTTATTAAAAACAATATGCCGTGAAAATACATATACAGCAGTTTCATTATTGAAAGTCCAGTTTTGTGACAGCACAACAAAACCATGAAATGGGCATAACTATTTACTGCTGTGTAATATTGGAATAATCCAGTGGTGGGATTCAGCCTATTCGGGAGAACCGGTTGGTAACTTTCTAAGCTGTTCGGAGAACCGGTTGTTGGGAGAAATCGCCTTTTATTTTCCCCCCACTTTACAGGGCTAATCCTGTATGGAAGGCAGGAAGGAAACATTCTGGTATTGTTTCTAGCCTCATCTTTATTGCCCTGCTTACAGAAACTGCCTCTTCGGTTAACCCTTATTACATTGTAACAGCTAAGGCGAAGCGCCCAGTGACCTGAGTGACATTGAGTTGGCCACACCCACCCAGTCACAAGACCATCAAGCTATACCTACCCAACTGGTCATTAGGGCAGAGAACCGGTTGTTAAATTTTTTGAATCCCACCACTGGAATAATCCATGGAAGTATAACACACCTTTCTATGACAGCAGATTATTGTGACCAGTTAACAAAAAGAAACATCAAGAATAAGAATAAATAAATAGTAATAAGAATAGTAATAAACATTCTTTTACTTGGGCATGTAGACTATCAAATCTTGCTACACAAACATAATACAAGAACTGCACATATCGAAAATGGTTGGTTCAGTAGAAGTATAACACTGGTATAAAAGCACAGCTGTGCCTGCCAGGTTGTCATAGTTACAACTGCAGCCAGCAGAGAATGAAAGGGAGAAAAAAGACAACTCAATAATATCTTAAGAAAACGTAGGCTGGATTGTATGAGGGATATACGCACAAGTGGAAGAAATATGAGCAAATAGCACTGTTTTTTAAACTTCTGCTTAAGAGCTATATATATGCACATTTCCTCAGATGCCATGATAAATCTTTCTACAAACATCTTGCACTAAGAAAAGCGCATTAATTTCATTTTCTCATGAAAGTATCTTGTATTGACAAACAATTCCCTTTCTTTGCAAAGTGATGTCACTTGATTTAACTACATTGAAAAAGTGCCATAACTATTTAAAATTAATATTATTGCTACCTTGTACAAATATCCCTAGGCAAGGGTAATTACAGTTGATCCTGTAATTTAGCAGTCTAAAAGAACAACATACAGTGAACCTATTTTGTTTGCCCCAGTATAATATCATGCTAAAGAAAAGAATCATTTTTATCCCTAAGTCTTTTTTAATTTATGTTATCAGCAATACAAGGATAAGCACTTGGCATAAGGAAGGCAAACGCATTCCAAATATGATGCCTGCAACTTTTCTACCCCTCCCCACTCAATATCTCTACATAAAAATATTCAAATAATTGCCATGACTACAAAATTAGTGATGTGTTCTAGCTATTTTTTTTTCTTACCAAAAAATTAGAAGCAGTTCAGAAGAGGAGCTGTGCTATCAAGAAATACAAATAAGGTCCCACGATAACCAATGAAAGCAACTGAAAACATGTCAACCCTGTCTATTGTTGTCTATGCTTCCAACTTACTATTTTCCCATTATTACCAGTAATATGTATATTGGACACACATTTCAAAAGATAAATGTCAACCTTTCCTATTTTTACAAAAGTTATTCAGCGTATGTTACATCATATGGACTTGCAATATATATTAATATTTCACGTAGATTAAAAAAACACAATAAAATATGAATGTTAAAAAGCCCTTATAAACATAAGAACATCAACACTGACATACCCTGAAGTCCACTGAAGAGGTTACCTAGCCTGGTAATGAAAGGTTCAAAAGCCAACCCATAAGCTTGGAGACCCTTCACCCTCAATGTTAAAAAGCTGTATAATCAGATACCAAGGCCCAGGCCATATAACCACTGAATCGTAGCATCGTTTATATGAAAAAAATCAGGTACTGGACCAATATATATCTTTAGCTTACAACCACCCATGATGAAATCTACAGCTTTATGCGGGACCCCACAGTCACACTGAGGGGAGGACACTATCCCCCATTTATACAGTGAATCCCAGCAGATGTCGTGCAAATCCTATTCAAGATTGTCTATTGCTGGCATGGTAGTTCAAAACCTGATACTTGGGGTCATTTATGTGTCTTCCTATGTTTGGAGGTTCAGCAACCCATTTGACCTTCTTTCGGGAAACAATGTTAAAGTTATTGAGCAGATGTTGTGCAAGTGCCAGTGAGGGCTTCCTGGATTTGAGCCTTATTTTTAAACAAAGTTACCTTTGTAGTTTCTACTAAAATCTCTAGTTTCCACTACTCTCCTGTGGGCTTCATTATCAAACAAATACTTGACAATTACAAAAGGAAAAAGAATGGTGTTGGCTTATCTTTGATAATAAAGCTACTGATGCACTGAATATCCTCATTGTTCTTACCATTGATCCCTTAGATGATTGATTTGATTCAATTTCCGCAGCCTACCATTTCAATCAAGTGACTCTATTCAAACAATGTTTTCCCCAGCCTTTCTAACAATGAGATTGAACAACCAAAAAGTGGACAACTAGAAACATGAAACTGCATAGAATTATCAAAAGTATAAAATGTGTAGTTTGATTAATACTGAAAATTTAAAGTTTCTAGGGCTAATAAAACTCTTTCAAAGTTTCCTACTAATCATTGCATTAGTATAGAAGATGATCCATTATTCTAATGGGTATTATACTCCCCTCCAAGGTAAATAGATAATTTTGATAGTTATCATCAGAGGCCAATAGGTATAAGGAGAATATTATAATGGAAATTTCAAGTTTTCGAACAGGTGCCAGAAAAGAGGAAGTGCCCTTAAAGTTCTTCTTGAAATTATAATAATTTCCCTATATATTCTCACTGTTCATTCTAAAGTAGCAATAAAATAGTGACATATCTAGGCAATATCCTTGCTCACCGTTCTATGCATTCCTTTACCACTGCAAAATTACCATCACCAATCACTTTTCCCACTTTGTACTTTTCAAGAATGGTGGCTGTCTCAGAGTACTTGTTTCCATTTATACCTTCAAGATACAAAAAGGTAAATGTTAGAGAAAATGCAAACAAATGCTATAAAATATACGTTAATAAATCCAAATAAAATCCAAAATGGAAGAAAAGTTTTAAATAAGGGTCATCAAAGGGTCATCAAAATATATTTCTATGCCTCATTTTCTCAAAGGCTATGTAATTCTTCTACAGGAAATGGCTGTAGATTTGAATGAAATAGTGTATCAAAAAAATGGGGTCTCTCCAGTTTTTCCCCAATAACTTTACTAAGTTTTTAAATAAGACATAAAAATAAGAACTAATAGCTGGAAGAAAAAGAAGAAACATAGACAGGAAAGATAAAGCCAAGAGTGCAGGAAAAAAGGAAACAATGAAAATGTAAAGGAGTAACTTCTGATTTTCTTTTGCAGCATTTAAAAATTTAATCTCTCACTCTATTTTTTTCTATATTCTATTTTTTTAAAATCATCAAACCCATATATCATAATTTCATTCTTTTCTGTTTCATGCAAAAAGTTGATAAGTGGTTTCCAGGCAGCATTAAACTTAGTTAATATATTTTCTTTGATCAAAGATGTTCTAAGATGAAAGAGATTGTGTTGCTTTGCTTTGCTCAGATTTACAGCCCCTTCACATTTGCAAAGGCCTCAAGAGGCTTCTTCTGCACATGTGAAGCAGCTGCACCAAAGTTACTTCCATTCTTGCTAAAGAAATGTTATCTTAGAGTTATGTAGCATGACTTGCTAAAATCCTGAAGCCTATGCAACTGGAGAAATCTGTGAGGCTATTCCCACATCACAAAAGCCAGAGACGGCTGTGTGACCCACAGCCTTTTTTAAGAATTATGCCTTCCAGCGTGTATTGAGAGAAATTGCCTTTTGCTGTCCTGCCTTTTGTATTTTAGGATATTACCAATCTTCTCACTGAAGATGGAGTATTCTCCAGCCCTTCCTAAAGCCAGGAGTACCTCCTTAGAAACTGTTGGCTTTGCAAACTATAGAGGTAAGAGCTAAAACAGGGCTGTCAAACTTTTGTTGAGAATTTTTTCCCCTTCTTTAAATCGGGCATGGACATGATGCACCTGGCCCATGGGACAGGAGTTTAACACCCCTGAGCTAAAAGAAAGTTTGAAGACAACAGGAAGCGTTTAAAGGACAAGTCATAGGGCACATTTTAACTAAATTGCTTTGCTTAATCTTGTTTTCTAACGTATTCCAAATAGAACCAGGTTGGTGCAATGGTTAAGGCAACAAGCCAGAAACCAGGAGAGGACATTCTAGTTCTGTCTCAGGCTTGAAGCGAGCTAGATAATCTTGGGCTACTCTCTCTCTCTCAGTCCTAGGAAAAAGACAAGGACAAGCTACTTCTGAAATCTTGTCAAGAGGACTGCAGGGACTTGTTTAGGCAGTCACCAGGAGTCAACTCTGACTCAAAAATGCATGTACACAAGCACACACACACAAACATAAACACACAGAGATTTAATTTGCATGCTGTGATTCTTTTGTAGTCTTCATTAATTCAAAGCCCTTCTGAAGTATTAGGAATAAAAATACAGTATACCTGAACATTCCCTGGGGTGGAAAGGGATGTTGTAATGCAGTACAAAGACTAAACATTCAAAATAAATTTAAATGTTTGCTAAGAACATATAGATTTTATTTTACAAAAGTGGAAATATATCCCAATTCAGTCTTTGCCTAACTTTGCTGAATGTTACCCTGTTTCCCTGAAAATAAGACCTCCCCGAATAAACCCAATCGAACTTTTGAGCGCATGTGCTAAAATAAGTCTTCCCCTGAAAATAAGCCCTCCCCCAAAATATTGCAACCCAACAGCAGCCATGAGGTGACCACACTCGCCACCTCCTGCACCTCAAAAATAATAAGACCTCCCCAAAAATAAGGCCGAGTGCTTATTTTGGGGTTCAAAAGAAAATAAGACCCTGGTAATATTATACCTACCTGTTGTATTTTATTGAATAGAAACAATAAAGAATCATGTTCATATTTATACTTTAAAGGGATTACAAAGTCATAAAAAGCCATTTTTTTATACACAATAAATTATATAAGTACGTGTCTTATGCAAAAGCTTATATATGGTTACAGGACACAATTTTAGCCTCCAAATAACTTTTTCTTTGACCACCCACTTGCCATATTTATTCTTTTTATAGTCTCTCTGTGTGAGAAAGTGTGTGTGTGTGTGTGTGTGTGTGTGTGTGTGTGTGTGTGTGTGCATGGATATAAGGCAATTTATTTATTTATTAATCAAATTTGTATGATCAACCACCTCAAAGTAAGGTGAAGCAGCATACAATAAACAGAAAAAAATGTAGAAAAATAAAAATCACATTAAAAAATCAATCCTATAAATCAGATAAACAAAACCTAAGCACAGAGAATCCACCTGAGCAATGTACCCATCTAAGCATGTCTCTGGTTCCCCGAGAGCATCAGGCCTGATAACATAACCAGGTCTTGTATTTTAGAGTATTTTTAGAGTATTTATTGAACATTTATAGGCCGCCCTTTTCCCTGAGGGGACTCAGGGCGGCTTACAATGATGAGGGAAGGGAGTGCAAGACAAGACATAAAAGAAAAACGTGAGTAAAAAATTAACCATAAAACACAACATTCACTCAACATTTGGGCGGGGAGAGAGTAAAATCCTAACCCCAGGCCTGACGGGA